TCTTGCCTTCGAGACAGTGGTTAATCTGTGACGTATCCCCTCATAATTCACTATTATTCCTCTTGGAATCTCCCATCTAAACTGAATTTAACGATGTTTTAACTCATCAGACAGAAAAGTAAAATCTTTTCTGCCTCTTAAAACTTTTGGAGGTATTTCTTTTAAAATTATCACATCTTGATCTGCAATTTGAAACTTTTGTTTATAAAAAGCCTGTATAATTTCATTACGAATAGATCTTCTGGAAAAATAGATAACCACATCTCTTGGTAAATTTCTCTGTCTGGCAACCCGTGAGTTAACTCTAAACATTTTTTCTATCTCATTCCCAATTATTTCAGGCCTCCAGCGAAGATTAAGAGCAATATCTTTCACAATAAGCATCTTTAAGTCCTCCTGAGAATTCTCTGTCAGCCCTCTGACACGCAAAGCATATTCCGTCTCTCTGTATCGTGAAATGATTTGTTCATCCTGTGTGATTTCTATCTTGTTCTCTACCTCCTGCATTCTAGATTCAATTCTTGTTGCATTTTCAGTAATATCCTCCATTTTGTCATCAATTCTCTCTATATGCAGAGCAAGGCCCTGAAAAGCAAAAAGTATATGGTCCCTTACTTGCTTGTTCTTTTTCTCCAATAATTCTTCTGTATTAGCCCTCTCTACAATTATAAGATCTTTTACTTCCTCCTTAATGTCCAAAGCATGCTTTTTAAAAGCTTCTTGTAAATCACTAAGAGAAATTGCAGGAGGAGGAGAGGGTGGAGGTGATTTTGGTTTCTGAGAAACAGACTGAGGTATTGGGGAAGAGATAGGAACTTTAGGAGCAGGAGGCGGGCGTTTTGAAGCCATTTTCTTAAGTTCCAAGAAGAAAGATTCTTATTAAAAAAAAAAGGAAAAAAAATCACAGTTCTTTTAAATATTCTTTAAAACACAAAAAAAGGAAAAAGAATAAAAGCCAAATTCTATATTTAAAGAGTTAATCTATGTCCAGGTTTTGCTTTATAATGCAAATCAAGCAAGAAAGACAATCGCCATTTTGCCTTTCACTTTCCCTTTCTTCTAAAGGGAAAGTGAACAAAAGGAGAAGAAGAGGAAACTTGCTGAAGTTAAAGACACCATCAAACTTGAATACAGTCTCTCCTGGTCTGCTCCGTCTGCTTTCAAATACTCACAAGCAGCTAAAAGAAGCAGGCAGCTTGCTTCATCCCAAAACTTCAGGACGAAGGCTCTAAAATTTCCTGCCATTTAGCCTCTGCGAGTTGTATTCATCTCTATTATACTCTACCTTGCAGCGACTGTAGATTTTTTTATTATTCAGGGTAAAAAAACAATTAAAAGATCACTCTTAAGAAACTATGTGCAAAGGTATGTAAAGACCTTGTTAATTAGAAAAAAATATATAGAAGGGAAAAAATAGCGCAGATCTTTTGATAGTTGCATAAAAGGCAGCAGGTTAAGATTTGCCTAAACTGAAGATTTCAAGGACCTTGAAATAATCTTGCTCTGCTTAGTAAACATTTCTTTTAGCTATTTAAATTAGGCAGAATTCCAGCAAGAATAGAATATCACAATGATTACATTCTTGTTAATACAGCTTGTTTAGGTAACTAACTTTGGGCAGGAGAGATATGAAAGATTCATGTTTCTCCAGGATGCCTAAATAACCCTGCTTGTCCCTCCAGTGTTACAGTCTGTGTTATCATTCATGGCAAGACTGCACTATAGTTTATTGAAGGTTTATTATTGGAAATATCAAAAGATTTCCATTGCATAGGATAGTGTTATGCCTAAAATGGAACAAGTCCATAGCCCTGACAATATCAAACCAACAGGGAAACTATCCCTCCATTTTTTTTCTAGAAAAAAAAAAATCTCCCATTACTTACAAGAAGAAGTATCTAAGCCACTTTAGCTATTTATCTAAACCACGGGTGTCAAACTTGTGACATCACGTGATGTGTCACATGTCATGACTTTTTCCCCACTGCCGGCAATGGGGTGGGCGTGGTTTTGGTGTGACACATCCAGCCCACAGGCTGGCAGTTTGACACCCCTGATCTAAACCATACCCTATCAGAATTGCAACACGCTGGAAGGGACCTATGAATTTTGTTTCAAACGTTTTTTCAAACATTTATCCTAATGTCTTTCTTTGGGACTTTCAATTTCCCACCTTTTGAAAAAGCCAGAAGCATAGGTTGAAAGTAAAATCAGATTTCCCTTCCCTTTTCTATTCCCAACCTTTGAGATAGCAAAATAATCAGTCCTATGACTTGTGGGATGTGATTCTGGGATCCAAGGATCTACAGACTAAGTATCTTCAGTTTACTTCACATCAGATTATCTTGGTTAATAATTAATTTGAACTTACATTCATACAAAATTTTATTTTAAAAAATATCCTGAGGCAGCTTTGTCTCTTGGCCCATTCTTCATTTTTATTTTTGCCTAGACCACTAAGAGAGAGCAACATTGCGGAATTTTTGAGGATGAAAGGAATTGAATCTCAATTAAGGTTATGGATGGAAGCCATCAGGTTATGAACTTCAACAAAGATTTGTTCTAACTAAGTTCCTTTGAGATAGGTAGATTGTAATTAGTCAGATTTCCAATGCAAATATATTTGTATGCAGTTAAGACGTATTTTTTGTTGTAGGTGAAAGATCAGTACTTGTTAATTCTTGTTCAAGCAAGTTCAGACTGTTGAATGGTAATGCCTACCTGAATGTAATCCTATAAAAATAATAATAAATAAGATCTTCATCAAGATGCATTTCTGATAGCCACAAATCAGTGGTAGCAGCAAAGAAAGCTGAACAACTTCATGTTGTACAAGAGAAACAGTCTATCTGTATTTTGAACATTATGACCCCATAGTATTAAACTCTAAAACTTTAATGTTGTACCTTAGCAGCATTTTTCGTTGCTTACAAATATCACAAAATAGTTTAATTCAACCAGTAAAACTACTGAAATGAGGAAAATGATTCATTAGTGCTATTTTTCAAGCTGGTGCTGTTTCCTTCTTTACCTAAAACATTCTTCTTGCCGCAGCCATCATGGGAGCATGTCTTTATGCAGGAACAAGCAGGGATTACCCTCAAATCCATATTTACTTTTGTTCTTTGAAAAGGACTTTTACTCAATTTACTACAGTGAAAGATCCAGTCAAATGTTCCCCTATCCAAACTCTTGCATATGAACTCCAGAGACAAAGCAGAGCATATAAGGAGAAAATGAGTAAGGAAGGGTGAAACAAAGAAAAGAATTCTATCTCTGGATGGTTATATAATAGATATATCTGATCTACAAGATTCAAGCTACAATTTAAATGCTCCTGAGTAAAGCAGGGGCTTGACATGCATTATGAAGAAGCCACTTAGAATCACTTAGATCCCCATGTGCTATTCTCCTGACAAATTCTCAGGAGGCTTCTAACTTGGCAGATTTTTTTCCCAGAAACTATTCCAAGCAAAGAAATCTACAACAATTTGGGTACTGTAATAGGATCAAACCTGTCAGTCCTAGAGGAGATCAACCCTGACTGCTCTTTAGAAGGCCAGATCCTGAAGTTGAAACTCAAGCACTTTGGCCACCTAATGAGAAGGACTCATTGGTGAAGAGTCTAATGCTGGGAAAGATTGAGGGCAATAGAAGAATGGGACGACAGAGAATGAGGTGGCTGGATGGAGTCATTGAAGCAGTAGGAATGAACTTAAATGGACTCCAGAAGATGGTAGAGGACAGGAAGGCCTGGAGGAAAGTTGTCCATGGGGTCACGATGGATTGAACACGACTTCACAACTTACAACAATAGGATACCCATATTTAGGACACCCACATTTCTATGCATATCAATGTCGATCTTGTCTGAGCAAACAGACAAATATGTGGGAAAAGAGTAAAAAAATAAAATGATTAAAACAATACATGGTCATGGCTTTATGGACTTCCACATACAGCTCAATTATTGTTATCTGCATTCTAAATTTGTAGCAGAAAAACCATTCCATCAAATGATATGCTGCTATGTGAAGTTTCTGATACAGATATCTTAAATGTAACAACCATAATGTTCAAGTTTCCTTATTGTGTATCAAAGTCTCAATTTGTAAAATATCAGGCATGATCTAATTTTTAAATATTATCCAAGTGCAAAAACTTTACTTAATTCAAGTCAACAGGATATAATTCTTGAAGGATGGTGTCTGTTGTCTGTTATTCATTGGATGCATATTATAAGTAGTCAAAGGTCAAAAATGCTTGTATCACTTTTGATGCAAGAAATAGGGTTGCATTTTCATTGTCCATTTTAATGATATTCCTTTTAAATTTGTTAATGACTGGCTGAAAGACTGTTAACAACTGATGCACTATAACTCATTAACTTGAAGGAAGAAAAGAAGGTAATATCTTGGTAGGCTAAATCAGAACTAAGGACAATTAGGCAACATATGATAGCAAGATGGGGCAGCATTTTGTCCACAGAGCCTCAATTCTCCACCCATTAACTACACACATGGAATAAAAAAAGCTAATTATATCATCTCTAGATAGAAGAGTTTTGTAATGCAAGCAAAACATCCACAGTTCCTCCTGCTAAAATCTCTGACATTTTTGCTTTCATGAGGATTATTTTGTAAACAATTGCAGCCATGAAGGTACATATCATCTCCAATAGGTTTTTTGACACTTCCAATGTTATTTGTTACCTGAAAAAAAGCTTTAGCCTAAATTGTTTTGTCTCTACCTATTTTCTTCTATTTTTCTCTAGTAGCTTACCATCTAACAAAATGAAATGTGAAAGGCAAACCTCACACTTCCCCAGAATCTGACAAGCATTCCTTGTTTGCTGACTTATTGATCATAAAAGCAGCCCACACAGTTATCTGTCTCCTCCAATCATGTCCCCATGTTTTTAAATGAGCTTTGCATTTTGCCAAACTGCTGGAAGAAAAGATATAGTAAATGAGGCTTTTATTTTCTTCTCCTTCCCACAGGCATTTGATCTGCTGCCAGGGATCCCCCATTTCAGGTTGTGATCATCTATGTATCTTTCATCTATATCTCTCTCTGAACAGTAATAGGCAATTCTTTAAAACATTTTAGATTTGGAAAGGAAGACATTTTCCTACTGTCCTCTAGACACTTATTTCAAAAATTCATAACTACTCTTAATTTCTCTATTTCAAGAGATGTGATAATGTTTGAAATAATGAAGGAACAAGTTTTGGCTCAAGCTTTCTGTCCTTCTAGCTTCTACTGTGTTCTCCTGAAAATGACCTATCCCAAAAATAAGCCCTAGCTTGATTTTTACATGTGCGCCCAATGTAAGCCCTACCCCAGAAAAAGCCCTAGTTTTGGACTGAGGCATGTGTGTAAAAATCAAGCTGGGGAGCTTGGGGGGTAGAGCTACTCCACACACTCTACACCTACTTACCTTAGGACCACTGCAGCCAGGCCTCTAACAGCCCAACATCTGTCACACTGCTGTTTGAGTTCTTCTGTGGCTGCTTGTGACCATATATGTGGTGCAATGCACTGCTGCTATCAGTTGCGACTGGAAGCTGCATGGCACATCACACCAATTGCCCCGGTGCCACCGCTCATGGTAAGAGGTCATGAGGCTCATCGCGCCAATTGCCCTTGCAAGCAGCAGCAGTGGTGCAATCAGCATGATCTCATGGCCTCATGCTACAAGTGGCTGCAATGGCACAACATGCCATGTGGCATGCAGCTGCAAGCGGCCACAGAAGAACTCAGGCAATAGCGCAACAGGTGTCGGGGTGTGGGAGGCCTGGCTGCAGCAGTCCTAAGATAAGCGGATAAGACATCCCCTGAAAATTAGACCTGGTGCCTGGCAAAAAAATATATATATATATAAGACCGGTTCTTATTTTGGGGAAAACATGGTAGTTCAAATAAAAGGTCAGTATCAGCTTCTGAAGTGTTATTTCACTACACATTTTTAACTTGTGCCTTCCTGTTCTCTTCCAGTAAATTGGACAAAGCAGTGAGAAAAAAGTAGGGGCTTTTTGGAAACATTACTATGGAGACTGTTTCCATGAATGTGGCATCATAAAAAAGAATTCGTAATCATACTTTGATCATTCTTTTCTCTCCTTCTGAAAAAAAAAATGGGGATAATATCTGATTATTCTGATTTGAAATTGGTACAATCAGACTGTGAACTTATTTTTCAATTAATACATTGATTACATATATTCTGGTTACACATGCATTGTTTGCAATTATCATCACTAATTACAATGATACTCCACCTTACATAATGTAGGATTTAAAATTTAGAAATTGAAGGTTTCTAAAGTCTCTCAAGTGATCAGAATGATGCACGATTAGCTGTCTGACTCCATCCTTTGACTCTGTGGTTAATATGGAAACCTAATGTAAGGGGTTGCCTGTTTAGATACCTCTCAAGCAATAACAACCTCAAAGCATCTATTCAGCACTGCATTTAGTTGCTGAATCAGACCTGGAACAATTACTGGAATACTTGTGAGGTTGACCATCACACAAATGAATTTACTGACCAAAATAGTAGAACAAGTTTGCTTTACAAAGTATGGTACCAATTAACATAAATGAATTTTTATCATTAAATTGTGGATAGATCTGAATGCATGATGAAGCAAAGATGACTTCAGGAATCATGATGTGGCTTAGCTGGTGTGGCATTAATTATGGAAAATAGAAAGTCATAATTGAAAAAAATCATATATTTGACTATCTGTGGTATATTTATCTACTTTTGTAGCCAATTCATGCAAAACTGATCAAATGCAGTAATAAATTACTGAACACAAAACTGAATCTAGAGGGAAAGAAACCAATGCTACACAATTGATTATAGCCGTTATAAAATTATAGAATTTTAATCTTCTAAAAGTAAGTGCTGTAAGGTAAATTTTGAATACAATATTAATATGTGTTAGGAAAGATCAGTGACATTTGCTTAAAATAATTACAATACAAAGAATAAAAGTTTCCTGGAATTACAAAAACTGTATTTTATGAATTTTGTGCTTAAAATTATGTGCCAAGAAATTTATACCGAAGAGTTTGCACATTTGAGTTATTGTGCACTATGTTGATTTGAGGAGGGACAGGAAACTAAGTAGAGTCTTTTGCCACCAGTAACTTCCTAGAAATCTTATGAAGCTACTTCTGCCTTCTAAGCTGATTATCTCACTAGAAATTGTTCAAACATTTTCAAGCAGAACAAATATTGGCTTTTTCCATCCACTCAAGAAACATGGGTTACTTTCCCAATAATGACTTATATTGCCTTCTAGATGTATCCATTATTTATTTATTGGATTTATATATCATCCATATCATCTGGAGGTAACTGATTGGAATCACTGAACCACTGGACTGATCACATTAATGAAGACTGTGTGATGCTAGAAGTGACCAATGAGGAAATGGCTATAGATTCCTTAGGAAGCTGAATTCTAAAGTTAATATTTAATATTCTGCTAATGTCAAATATATCTATGTTATAATAAAACAACATCAGAAACAGAAATAATATAAAAATACATCCATATATAAGCAATTGTATCTGCAATTGTATCTGCAAATATTGTATTAAAGATGGGCTAATCTCCCATCAACAAGAAAAATTAAAGACAAAATATATACGCACCTGGTATTGCACTGAATGTTCATCAAGGAATGTGTGTATAGTAATATCTAGAGCTTAATTGCTGTAGAGCAACAGCATTTTTAAAAATATACAAAACAAGAACACTCTTGTCAAGAAATAGTCTAATATTGTGCTTCATTATTCTTCCATCAATGCTTAAAACTTGAAGCAAACCTCAAGAAACTACTTTTATTAATATAAACTATCAAATGAGTAAAAAAAAAATTCTATTCAAGTTAAGTCCTTGGAGGTATTAATATGAATTACTATTTTCAGCTTTTTTTAGAAGGTTTAATATATATTGTTTATTTTTTATTATTGAAGCAGACTAAATTATAACCATGTATATGGAATATATCTATTTCTGCTGTTCGTAGACATTAATTTTAACTTCAAAATGAATCCACAGAGAAATAGATTATAACACTGGTTATAAATTATATAGTTGATGCCAATATTCCTCTATTGCATTATAAAAATCACAGCTTTTTGTGTTGTTGTTAAAATAAATGTCAGGTTTAAATTTTAAATGTGCAAGATTGATTACTTTGAAAAAGTGATAATCATTAAAAAAAAAGTTACTGTGGCACCATCCCGTTTACCATTTGGACCTTCATTTCTTGAAGGCTGTTCATTATCTTCTTCTGGTACCCAACAAGTGTGATTTCAAGATGGCTCAAATCCCTGTATGAAGAAAGCACATGTTGATTCCAAAGGCCAATACACTGGGATGTTGGCTGTACTTGATCAACCCATATGTGTCTGTTTTGAATATCCATGTTTTAAAATTATATCTCTTAAAGCAATTCATAAAATTATAAGCATTATTTTGAAATCTGTCTTTTTTCCTTTAACTATCAGAGGATGCCAGGATTTCTTGCTATTTCTGAGGCAGTATAAATGAGAAAGAAAGAAATGTTAGAAAAATGAGTGAGTATGGAAAAGGGAGAGTACGTTATTTTTCTACTAAGCCATAACCATTCATCTTCATCCCATTCCCCAAAATCAGATGAAAATATTTTTGTTGTTGAGAAATATTCATAGTCACAGAGACAGATATAAACAGTCCAGTAAAAGCTTTAGCTTTTGATTGTCATGTTTTGTTTTATTTTTCACTCTATAGAAAAGGAGGCTGAACTGGGACATCTCAGATCATTTTAGTGCAGTTTCTAGTGCTACTCTTCCTCAGAGAACAGAACAGTGATCCTTCCTATAAGAACAAGGCACGCGTAAATGTTCCTATTTTATTTTCCTGTGCCTTGGGGAGTTGGATTGCTTATTTCAACAGGTAGATTGAGTTCACCCACTCCATGTATGTATGCTCGGTATATGTATGAAAACAACACTTGGCTTCTACAGAATGAAGAAAATAATCTGTCCATCTATTATTCAGCTACAATCTCTATTTTGGTTGAAGAGTGGCATATAACTTTTTAAATACATATGTGTTTGTGTATATGTGTGTATCTAGATGTATACACACTGTCAGATACATACATACACATATATTGCTTCTTCATAATAACCATCCTGGGTAGTATTCTCAGGGCCATCTAAAAACTTCCCAGTAGTATCTTTTAAGTTATCATATGAAAAACCACTAACTAAACAGAGATGAACATCAGAGCAGAATTAGTAGGGGTAGATTTGGAGTGGAAAACTTTTGGATATATATATATCCTTAATCCAGATTTTTCCTTTCATTCCTGAATGTTATCATTTATTGACATACTATTGTAGAGTTGACTTACATCAGAAAGAGTATTATAGATTGCCAGAGGAATACTTAATTTATGGCAGAAATAAGTTTTGAACACATTTAATATTAACTCTATACACACTTGAGTAATGTGAAAAGTAATACAATTCCAATTAAATCAATGGATACCCTGCCCCATTTATCAGAACTGCTAATTGTGTTTACAGAATTGCTAATTGTGTTTGAGTTATAATTACAGAACCATATATTGCTTGGGTAAGGCTAAAAAAGTGCAGATTCTGCATCTTTCCCCAGGAAAATTTATCATATTGTACTGTCATACTTTTGACATTATGATCAAGCCCTGGTATAAAAAAATGGTAAAGTAAACTGATGTTGCTTCACATCAGTATTATACTTTTTAAAGATATGTCAGTATGACTGAAAAACTATACATATTTAAAAATGATTATTTTCACAACTTGTAATCTGCACTTCATGCAGATTTGAAAAGCATGGAGATCTTGTACCTGAAATGATGGCATTTTGATATGTTCAGGAATGCCCATAGAGTATATGAAACTGTTTAGAAAATTAAGTTTCCAATTCTTGTGGGAGAACATAAAGCATTCATCTGCTCTTGTTGTTTATCCTTTTCAAAAGAAATATGGTATCATAACTGATTTTTAAATATATACATGTCATCAGATGAAAAATAAGGAATAAAAAGCAAGAGCCGGTGAATTCCTGATATTTTTTCCATAAAGGAACTTTATGGAAAACATTTATTTTAAAAGAAAAATGAAACAATTACAATGTAACACAATACTACACCCACACATATTGTTATAAATTTTCAGAGCCGTCCACTGGATGAAAAGCAACAAGGTGTCCTGAGATTCAATATGTATCTTTCATAAGGGAGATGTGATGAAGTCCACCTTTTGTTGTTAGCCATTAAAGTCCAGTCAAGTATGCAATTTAAGAGGCCAGTTTCATTACTTAGCTATTCTTGAGGATTGTTCTGGCACTCAAAATCATCAGAGATTGTCCATAAAGTTAGAAAATAGTTGCTCTTTTTTCTGTGAGAACATTCTGATAATCCAGATGAAAGCATAGGTTGAAAACGGGATCCATCTCTCACTAGAATTAGAACTACATGGCAACAATAATATTGGAACACACTGGTTGTCAGGTCATGGAAGAGGATCTGGAACAGAGTACAGGACTTGGGGCAAATGCTATGGAATCCATTTTTTTTTTTTAAAAAAATTACATTCAAAAGGCATCCCAATGCCTTCACAAAGACTGAGGTTCTCATTTCTAATAATCAGACTATTTTTCTATGTAAAGTTCAACCTCCTTCTTGCCTGGGCTCAGATTGCATGATAAAAATTCTGGGAAAGCAGCAAAACCAAATAATGAATTTTAAACAATGTTGAATGGTGAAATCTATTTTAAAGTGCTGAATTTTGATTTTATCTGATCTTCCCAAGTCCCAGCTCTGGAACAATATGAATACTCAACCCTAGTAAGCATGTTACAACACATTTAAATCCAAACATTTTCCATGTTTCTTTCTTCTTCTAAATAGTTAAGCGCAATCTCTTGTTTTCTGGGAAATTGCAAATTACTTTGGGTTTAGAATAAAGATGCATATTTTCCCATCCAAACATGTTCTCAGGAGTTCAGCTGTTATAAATAATTTGAAGGTCCCATGCTTTTTCTTTAAGCTGCTGCTTATCCTTAAGAATAGAGTAAATTGTCATGATTTCTTTTGTTCTAGGAAATATTTGAGAAATTCAACAAGAGATTTAGTTTAACATAATGATTTCAAATAGAAGTTTAATCAGTCATTTGGAGATTAAATAGCCATTTTTCTGTTGTTTTTTTTAAAATGGATCTTCATTGTGACCAAGGGTTTAGAGGTAATGGTCCTAGTGTACCTTTCCAACTTTATGATTCTGTGACAAGAATAGCTATATTACCTTCTGGTTTCTTCATGGAAACTGACTAATACAGAAAATGTTTCAATTATATCAAATGAAACTATTACTCATTTATTAATAAGTTTGAGTTTTTATTGTAAATATTTTCTTTTGTTGCAATAGTTGTGATTTTTTTTGTTTTTCTGCTATATTTTACATTTGCAATAAAGAATGACTTATCAATTGATTGAAAGTAATTTTATTTTTTTCGGTATCTATACATGAAAATGTGTTTTATACCATACACATATGGACTGAAAAGTATAAAAATACAATAATACAGGAACTTCATTATTCAACTAGTTGAATGTTTTGGCTATATCAAATAATCCACTCAGGTTTCAAATAAATTTCTCATAGACAGTTTACTTACAAAATACAATCTGTGATTCAGAAAGTATATAAGTGAGCTTTGATTAACTGTTTTATCTTATATTTTAATGTCTCAAGTGGATTTCATTGATTTTCAATAAAAATTGAAGCATATTTTTAAAACTGAAATACAAAAAATGACATTATTTATGATAGGAATAATGGGTGGAAAATCACTTAGGAGTGTTTTGATGGTTTGTTTTTAAAGTAGGTGGATGGTTGGCTTAATATAAGATGCCATATATACCCAACTGCTATTCAATCTGACAAGTTAAAAATTCTTCTGCCTCCAAAATGGGTGAAAGGAAGAAGACATTGCTTTCAAATCTTTCCATAGAATCATAGAGTTGGAAGGGGATATTTTAGCCATTAAGTCCAATCTTATTCTCAATGTAGGAATCAATTGTCAGAAATATACACATTTTTTGCACAAAATCCACTATGCTGAGCAAGAAGTGCATGCTCTTGGTCATCTTTGACTTTGGCTTCCAAGAAGCTTAACCTAAACTGGAGCCTGGTTTATATATGCAGCAGGCTGTTGAGACAATGAGAGTAATGTTGGTGACTATAAAACCAGATCAAGAAGAAGATACCAAGCATCTCTTTATTGTGAAATGCTTATATATCATTTCCAGGGAACTTAAGCTAGGAGCATTAAAAATGTGAACTTTTATGGCAGTCTGAAAAAGGATCATCTGAATACTCTTTCTCATTTAGGAATTTCTCATAGCCAGAACTCTAATGTAAAGTAGCATAACAAATCCCTTTTATTCTTATGGCTTTATGGACAGAAGGATTTGAGATGGATCAGCAGAATGATGCTATCTTAATATTTTATCTATAAATAGTTTCCATACAATATTTGTTTTATTATATAACTAGTGTAGAAAATAAAGAAAGACAAAATGTTTTTCAATAAATTCTGTGATATTAATGGCAAGTTACAGAAACAGGTGATACAAATATGGAGAAAGAGAAAACAGGAATCTTCATTCTATAACTATTCAGCCCAGTCCAAATCTTAATTTTTTGCTTGAATAATATCAACAATCTAATTTCTATTAGTGCACATTTATACAATACTAATGTAGTATTCTTGGCTTTCATCAAGACTTCTCAAATTATAGTTTGGTTGAGTACATAAAAAATTCCTTTCTAAAAATCCTAAGGCCGGCACACAAAAAATTATAGGTCTCAGAATTCTGGGATTTGTAGATACAATTTCAAAGGCACTGGGTTGGAGAAAAGCAGAATGTGGAAGAAATACACTTTCAGTCTCTATTATCTACAGCTTAATGATATATTTTGTTAAATATTCTTTTTAACAGTTACCTTTTCTGCATGATTCTCACTCTGATCTCATAGAAAATTCCACTAGTATGAGCTCCTTTACACACACACACACACACACCCCACATGAAACCTGAAACTAATTGATTAAATTTTAAATAAAGCATTAAAACCTGAAGATGAGAACTTCACTAGAAACAGCAGAAAACACTATTTTACAAGTTTAGGGATAGTATATCCCACCTAGTTTTAAGCACTTCTACTTGTAAATCTAATTTTTCTAAAAGCCAAAATCCCTTTAAAATTTGATAATATTGTTACTTGTGTTAATTTCTATAATATGACAACTTTAAAAAAATTGAAATTATTTCAGGGACAGAATGTTTTAAAATATTTTTTGGCTTATATAAATATTTTATTAATTTTCTAATTTTATAGTCAAATACTTAATAGACAACGTTGTCTGGGTCCATTAGTAATTCAGTGGTATATATCATCTCTCAATATAGATCTAATATTACACCATCAAATGTTTCCTCTCTTCTCCAATAGTATCTATTTTCCCACACTAGACAAATACAATTCTTATTGTTATTAATAAATAATATTTTTATATAATTGAAGGGAAAACATGACATCCACTATCATTATAATACATGCTAAAGAAATTAATAATTAGTATAATAGTCAATAAGGCAGAAATTAATGACTATATTATTTAACATAAGTGCAAATACCCAAACAGAAAGATATTTGTAAGAAATTTAGGACATACCTAAATTCTTATATGATTGATACATACATAACAGACAAGAGAATATCAGGGAAATCCAAATTTATAAAAAACAGTTGAATTCAGAACATTCAACATATTTTTCTTATTTCCTTTTCATAGTTAAGACATTTGCTAAAAGTAGATTCTGTTTCTGTGTTTGATGCTTTGTAAACCCTAGCTGTACTATATATTAATTGTTAAAATTGGCTACTGTTAAAGTCAGAACTGGATCTGAGATTATCCAATAAAACAGAAACAAATGAAAAATATTGAAACAGCTGATGCAGGTTCAGAGAAGATGAAGTATTCAAGCACAGCCAAGAAGCTATGACACATTCATCATATTTCACAGTTTAAAATATAAGCAGGGAGATGTTTTGTGTCCTAATTTTCACTCTGCTGGTGAGAAGAAGTCCTCTGATGTTAAATCAAATAAATAAATAAATAAAGCAAACCATATACTTTTAACTGAACAGCAGATTGTTGAAGATTTCCCGTAGAGTCAGGATTAATTTGCATCCTTGAGCAGTAAGAAGAGAAAATGTTGTGCTTAAAAGGGTTGTGTGTGCAGACCAACAATACAATGCAAATAATTTTTTTAAAAAGCAACCTAACATTGATGATATTTACAAGCATTTTTTTTTTAGTTTGGAAGCCAGAGAAAATGAAGGCATTTATTAAATTTCATTATAATTGTAGGGAGGTGGGGAAAAAAAATTTCACAATTTATTTTTTGTAAAAACAAACAAATAAACAAGCAAGCAAGCAAACAAACAAACAAACAGGGAATTCCTTTTCCCACACCTCACTTTCATTTTGGCAAAGCTGCCTTTAAGAGAAAGGATTCCATATCTTGCCATGCATCAGTCAAGACCTCTGACCTTCCTGTATTTTAATCAAGGTCTTGTCAGTTTGGAACAGGACAAAAATGTGACCCTCCTGGTATTGTCACTCTCAATTAAAGTCAGGGTGCTTTTCTGTTTTTTGAACTCTTCACTCAGGAATGTTCACTTCATAGGTTTTCCTATTGGACCCTTTTTTGATTTCATACAGATCTCAAAATTTTTTAAGTCTGGAATGTATCAAGTCTCTGATAAGAGAAAGCCTCTTCTCTTGCAGTGGCCTCCCTATATTTCTGTATCCAAGGACAAATATATCCCCTCTTAACATAAGCTTGCCTCATATCACTGCACAAAGAAAGAGGAATTATTCATTCTGCTCACATTTTAATCTGAATTTAGTAGTATGAATTTCCTAAATCAAGACACAGGCTGAAACTTTTCCAACTATTATAATGTTAAAAATATACAAAAATGTGTATATTACAAAAATGCAATAAATTTGAAAAATATATTCGAATATAAATATATATGTACATACACACACAAACATACATACATATACAATTTTTCAAAATGTTAAAAGAAAAATCATTTGGAAAAAATTTAAGATTGGAAAATATGATAACGTGAGTGAAAGAGTCACAATAACTATTGAGCAAAGTAGCAAACCTAGAGAAAATAATAGTGATTAGATCTGCTCCAAAATTATTAGATTTTCTGCACAGGAACCTGTTGCCATATCCTGGATAACAGTAAAGTGGGATTATTCCTCTCCATTTTTTTCTGAGATGTTTGCAGTTAAGACTTTTTTTCCCCCTGAAAATCCTTACACCTTGTACAGTTAGGATGAAAGTAGCTTTATTATATGAAAAGCAGGACACACCTTATGCCAAAATTGGCATGCTGTTGAAATGATCAAAGTCACATGATCAATTATTAGTGCAAAGTTACTAATGATATCTTTTCAACAACTGTGATACCTACAAATCAATGTTATCTCTGATATGCTATCATTTATATAGGATATAAATGAGTTTTCCTTAGAAACTAATTGCAATTAAAAAAATCTTAAATGTTTCCAATTGTTTTCTACATTTACTCTTAATTGACTTCCAACCCAAAGTGCTCTCCTTTATATCAGTGGAAATGATCAGGAATTCTACTCACTCCAGTGTCACCTGAGCCACAGCATCCATGGAACTATATCCATTTTCCATGAAAATCTCTGTGTACCGTCCCATTTTGATGGCTTCCAGCCATTCACCTACAGATCTGTAGACACCATTTCCAAGTGGGCTGTGTTCCCCTAATAAATTTGAAATTCTAAAAGAGAAACCAAGGTATACATTAACACAATCTTTTTAAAAAGTTGGATGTAAGATTGTTGTACATGGAGGAAAACCAGAAAACAGAGTTGTCTAGTAACCCTGGAGGTGCCCAATATTAGGTTTTGTGCCTAACTATTTCAAAGCTTTACTTCACAGCCAGCTATATAAATATTCTACAGGTCAATTTTAGGAGGGATCATTTCCTTGCATCCCGATTTTTAAAATCTAATTTATTTGTTTAAATTTACTGGCTGCTCAACTCCAGTGGACTCTGGGCAGCATACAAAGTTTTTAAAAAAAGCCTAGAGCATAAAAATAGCAAGAAACATTAAAACAACAAGCAGCCCAGACTAAAATACTCTGCTACAGAAACCCACAAAACAAAAAACGGGCCTTTAAATAATGACAAACATCAACTCCAGGCTTGGGGCATTTTTTTGATTTTATATCTTTGATTTTTTGGGGGGAAGGTGATATTTTTCTCAAATCGATTCACTTATTAAAATTATAATATGGTGATACTGTAACATTAGCAACTGATTTTCATAACTGGCTAATATACAAACAACAATTAAGAGTGAGTGATGTGATTTACTCACAATCTTCCCAACTTAGCCTAACAAAAACTTTGCAAAGTGACAATGAGGATCTACTAAACAGTCAGAGAACTAAATCAGTCTTACATACATAATTTCTGGTTTTATATTTTGTGTGTTTCTTTTCAAAGCTGCAGAAGAATATGCTATTGCATTATGTCTACTGCCATTGTTCCTATAATGTCCTAGAGTTCTTAAAATTCAGAAAGCTTATGAATGTAATAAATAAACAAAATAAAATAATTCATCATCCATCAAGATAAATGTAGCACGTCTTCTTACATAATGCATTCTATTTGATGGATACGGTAGGTGCTAATGCTGACATAAATTGTTATGAATTTTTAATCACATTTCTTTAAATAATATCAGCATTTGTCAATTTTCTAAAGAACTTATATTAAATTGCAATATTCAGGTGATAAAATTATTGGATGCCGCATCATGCGGAAGCCATGCCCACCCCATTGCTGGCAATGGGAAAACCATCCTGATACATTGGACGATGTCACATGACATCACAAGTTTGACATGTCTGAACTAAGGGTAGCTACTTTTGTATCATCTCTTTCCAAATTAGAAAAATAGTTTGTATTTTGACAATAATCAAAAACTGAGATATTTCATCAAACCAGAGAAGCATAGCATCAGTGATAGAAAGATAGCATGGCATGAATTTGATTTTATACCTGCTTGATGTGTTCACTAATGTTTTCAGGCTACTGGGATTCCGAATGAGCTTTTCCAATATGCAGACTATTTCATCAAATTTGGGCCTGCTATTTCGGTCCTTCTGCCAGGAATCTAACATTAGCTGATAGAGAGCAGCTGGGCAGTCCATGGGACTTGGCAAACGATAACCTTCTTCAACAGCCTTAATCACCTAAGGAAAAAATAATCAAATTCCTGAATGTTCTTCTTTAATAAAAATAATTGTAATTAAGATTCCCCTGACAATGCAACACATAGATTTCTGTTGTTAAAACATTCAGATCATGTTCCTGCTGATAACATTAAGTCTACATAAATGATGGTATGAAAAGCTATATATATATATATGGAAAACTCTATCCATATTATTTACAATGTCATGCAAGAATTTTTATTATATCTTCACCATGGAATAGTGCTACTAGAATCCAATAAAATAGGGAAAAAATTACATAGCCAGCACTAGCATTGGTAATATCAAGAACTATTAATTCTCTAGCTCAGTTTCAGAGAAATAAAATTTCCCAAACCATTGAGTTTTTGTAAATGAATTTATATCTGACTCCAGCTTATCGGATTGCTAACTTTTTCAGGGACACAGCCAACACCCAAAATTTTTTATAATCGCAGCCAAATATTTCTAACTATTTTTCACAGAAACAATAACATTTACTGACCTATTACTAATGTCTATATCACAGAGCACATCAAACCATTCATTACCTCAGGTTTCTCTATGTAGGAAAAGAAAAATTCCATGAATAAAAATCCTAAAGGGAAAAACAACTCAAGAAGCATGGGAAATATTAAAAAATGTGATCATAAAAGCCAAGTCTAATACAATACCACTAAAAAAGAAAAACAAGAAATCCAAGAAGAAACCAGCACAGTTGCACAAAGATCTCTCTGATAAACTGAAAGACAAAAAGTATAAGCACAAAAAAATGGATAGAAGGACACATAACTAAGGCAGAATATCAGCAGATAACAAAGATCTGCAAAGATGAAGCAAAGGCTCTGTCTGAATCCAATTATATTTCATTTCTAGTTAGCTATTCTGGGAAAAACCCATTTCTGCTCTCTCTGGATTCTGTCATATTACAAAGGGGAAGGGGGATGAGCAGGGGGGGGGGTTTATGGCTCTCACTTCCTTCATTAAAACTTTAAAAGGACTGGATGTTGATTCTCACCAAGAGGACTGACCATGACAATATGGCCATCTTCTTTCAACTACTCTCTCTGAAGTCTCCCTTTTGCTGGCAGTAAGGGAAAAGGGGGAAAATAAGGATTTTCACACGGAAGAACTGTGGGGTGGGGAGCTGCTTAGGAACGCTTAAAATAGTGGGAAGTCAGAGCCCCCCCAGAGAAGGAAATATTAAAAGGACAGAAAAATATATATTTTTCCTCAAAAGGATTTTTAAAAGCAGAAACCAAACCTGGCCCCAAATCTCTCTGCCCCCAAGCAGTAGCCAGCCCTATACAAATGCAAATGTAAAACCATCAGAAAGTTGGAGTCAGAAAACTCAAGAAGACAAAGATACTTAAAATCTGCATACCCCACCCAAACTCTAGGAGTCATTAGCCCCATCACCAGGGAAGCAGGATATGACTTTTGGGACATAATAGGACTAACCCATTACCATCAAGTATACCAGAGAGGCGCACCTAAACTCAGGTCAGAATACGTGACACAGGAAATAGAGTCAAGTTCATGCCACAGGAACAGGAAACTTCCAAACAAAAAGCTAGAGAAGGTATAAAAACTCCTTGCCCATGTGCTCAGGCTCCTTTTCTCCTCTGGTCTTTCCAGCAAGAATCATCTTTCTGCTTCTTTAATAAACTGTAACCATCTTCCCAAAGCAGTTGCCATGTTGCTTATTTATTCCTGGCTTGGATGAACCAGGATAAAGACTTTACTTCTAACAATTTGGCACCCCAGAGATGGGACTCCAAGCTAACCTCTCCAGTGGACTGAGACTGGTAAGCCCCATCTTGCCAGCAGCAGACCCCCTTGTGTCTGTAGATGGGTTTCCCAGGCCTTGCCCATGTGGAGCCAGGGTAGTAAAGGGAGTTTTGAGAGTTTGAGCTCAAGGGCTGCTTTGGAAAGAAGGTGAAGGTGAGTACCTCTAAATTTTAAGTTTAAAGCCCAGGGGAACAAAGAAAATGTGTGTATATCTGTGTGTGTGAGTGAGAAGATCCTTTTTTCCCAATTACAGTTGGATTTTGCTCCTTCTGGTCTTTCCTAGCCGCAGAACGGATTGGTTTAATTGGCAGAACCTGGAAAGCATGAGAGTTTCCAGAATGTAGGACCTTTTGTTAGGGAAAAGGGAGAGGCTGTGTGAAAATGGAATGGAATTGAGTGAATGAGAGAATTGGATTTGGGCAACCAGCTGGTAAGGCGCTATAAGCAACGCCCACCTATAGGAGGGGCCCATACTAGTGCACAAAGTACAGGTCCTCCTAGACTTCTTCTAAGTCTAAAAACTGATAAGCAGTGTATGAACGGAGGCTGGGTACCTGTGTGGCAGGTCCCCCTCGGACAACGTATTTTTGAGGTCTGCAAAACCACAGGAGTCCCTAAACTGGAAGGACCACTTACTCCGTATAGGGACTGGAATCCTTCCTGGGCAATTTTTTAGTGCCCAAAAATTGAGGTGGGGCAGCAGGTTTGTTGTCGCTAAGAGCAGCTGGGAAGTGCTGCCAAAAAACCCGATTGAGCCAATTTGGACCCCACATCAGAAGGGGAACATGGGTAGCTGCAGTTCGAGGGTTGGAAATAGGACACTTGTTGGAGATGTGGTCGAGGTGTGGGATGAGAGGCTGAGTGCCTGTCCTGGATGGTAAGAAAAAGAAAAAAGCGAACAAGAAAAATTTGTGAAAATGAGCTTTGCTTAGGGCTTTGCTAGGGAAACCAATGAGCTTTGCTTAGGGCTTTGCTAGGGAAACCAATTTGGCAAAATAAAGGTACTTAAAAGGGAAAATAAGAAACAGTGATTTCCCCCCCCCTCTCTCTGCAACCACGTGGTATGTTTAAAACATGTGCCTTCCCTAACTTGAGTTATCTGAAATTTATGGTGAGAATGACTAGGATGTGTAAAACTAAGACTTCTGTTTCCTTTTCTGTTTTCCTTGTCTTTGTGTATATATGTTTGTCAAAGTCTTTGTGTGTGAGGTAAATATGACTGTTAACTGTTTCAAATCCAAAGAGAAAAGAATTTTAAATTCTGCTAGAAATTCTGCTTAAAATAAGCCACAAAAAGGAAATACCTCACTCTGTTTGTCTGGCCAACAAACAGAGTGAAGAAAAATTTGTTTATTTGTTTGTTTTCCTCTTTCTCTCTGTGTACCTTTAAGAACAGCCCAAAGTTACCAGGAGGGAATGTCCTGCCTGCTGGGTCCTGCCCCAAGCTCTGGAAAATCATTCTGCAATGTGTTGTAAATGAGTTTGTGTTCTAAATGGATTTTATCTATCTATCCTTTTCCTGAAAAATGTGTGTCTATCTACAAGAGCCTTTTGAAGCTCAAGTCTGCTTGTGTGGGGAAATAATTTCCTTAAGTTATTTTTCTTATCCTATCACTTATTGGTGAAACTACTATGAAGCTTTCCTGAAACATATAAGCATTTCTCAATCTCTAAAACAATGTGGTCTATTTTAGAATAAATGTTAACTGCAGTATCAATGCCTTTTCACACTGCCTGCAAGCTACCACCCCTTCCAATTCTTTTCTTGCCCTTTGTTCTCCATACCTTTTGTCTGCCTCTCCTGGGAGAGTCCACCCAGAAAGGGGGGGAGACCTTGTTCTTGTATCTTTCAGCTCTGCATAGATGACACCCCCCTCAAAATCTTTGGAAGCAGAGCGCACACTGACCCAAACACTGCCTCCATCCATTTGAGCCATGGAATTGGGTTTTGAATCCAGCCATCTACTAAAAAGCCACCATGCAATCTGAGTGGAACATCTTCCCAAGTCCTATCATTCCCCCAGATGCCTGTGAGAGCTGCAGAAGGAACGAGCCCAGGAGTCATTGGTGCCATGTGAAGCCTCAGAAAAAAAAAATTAAGACTATGGGGGGAAGGTGGAAAGTCACTGTAAAGTTTTCCTTCTGCCCCATTTGTATTGTAACAAGCCAGTTGAATGTATTAATGGAGAGATGGCATTTGGGAATAGTTGGCACAACAAGTATTGAACACTTTGGACTTCTATCTGGTGGGAGGGAAAATTTATCCAGAATATTTGTATTGCCTGTTTTGTAGAAATAGCTGCACATGCACACACACACACACACCATTCAGAATCACACTTGAGTCTATCCCCTCCACCTACCCTTAGTAAAGTTCCCCAGGCTGATTTTTGCTCTATTGCACCAAAGCTTTGTAGGAACAACTGCCAGCAAATTCCAAGGGGGAGGGAACCAGGCCGCCTCAGGCAGTTTGGCAATTCTTATGCCCTGACTAAGGAAGTAGCTGGAAAGAGATCCCCAAACCTCAGCCCTGAATATCTTGCACTGGTGGACTCAGATTGGGATTCCTAGAGCTCACTATGTGTAATTTAAGGAAAATTTAATAGCCCGGCATACTGGCTAATCTTAATTGGACATTACTAACCTGGATGCACTGAACTAAAAGCTAAGGCAGGACACAATCCTTGAAAATGGGCAGCCAGTGGTTATGTACTAAGGCAAACCATGGCTGTGAAGAATTTTGGGAGGAATGTGCAAACCTGCCTGGAAGTGACATCCAACATTTGAAAATGATTGGCACAGAATATTGGACACTATAAATTTACACCTAACAATTTTTGCCTTGATTTTTAGAACTTTATGGGTTGCAAGCTCCCCTTTTGGGAGCCACTGAAGGGATATTTTTCTGCTCCCTCCATTAGTGTCTTATTTTTTTATTTTTTATTTTTGGCTTAATAGTTTAAAGCTTGTTTACCAAGTCCCCCTGACCAAATCAATTTTAATCTTGTGCCAATAAGTGTGTCATGCATTCACACACTTAAGGCACAAAGGGGGGAATTGTGGGAAGTCAGAGCCTCCCAGAGAAGGAAATATTAAAAGGACAGAAAAATATATATTTTTCCTCAAAAAGATTTTTAAAAGCAGAAACCAACCTGGCCCCAAATCTCTCTGCCCCCAAGCAGTAGCCAGCCCTATACAAATGCAAATGT